CCCCCGCCGCCCCGCCAGGCCCCGCCCGCTGCAGCGCGAGCGGTCAGTGCGCAGCCCGGAGCCCGAGCCGGATCGCGGGCTCGGTGCGAACTCGACCTGACCGCAGTCCCCGGCCAGGTGAGGGCAGCCCGGGACGGCGGAGGGGGGGGGGGATGGTGGGGCGGGGGCAAGGTTTCTCCTTTATTGGGAGCGGGGGTGGGGAAGGCGCGGGGAAATCGGGTCCTTCTTCCCTGAAAGGAGGACCTGGGAGCTTTTTTAATGAAAGAGGCTCAAGGGCTTTTTCGCCGAAGGGATGGATGAAGGGACGTCTGGGAGGAGGGGGCCTGCCGGTGGGGAGTCTGGGGTACCCCTTTGTGGGGGATTCTTTTTTGTCCTGAGAAATGATTAATCGGCTTCCGTGAAAGGGGGACTTAATTGGGAACATCAGGGGCTCTCAGGGTCGATGGGAGGGGGTTCCAGGGGGCTTGAGGGAAGGGGTGTTTGGGGAGGGGGACTGGGCGGGGAGGGGGGCACTAAGATCCCCTTAGCCTGCACCTCCCCCGCTGGTTTCTGGGGCTCTGGGTCTGCCCACCTCTTTGTGTCCCAGTTTTTTCTCTTTGAAGATGACTATTTTGAGCCCCTCCTGGACAGAGCTAGGAACGGCCATTTCCTTCCCTGCAGCTGTGATGCCCACCTGACAACCTCCCACCTCTGACCTGCTTAGGGAAGGAGGGTTAGGGAAGGAGGGCACCTAGGCATCTGGGAACTGGGCAGTGGTGGGTGAAAGGGAGGCGGGGTGCTGGAGGAACCTCTGGCCCTGGCGGGCACACCAGACGTGGTGGGGAGCTGGCTGGGGGTTGGGTGGGCAGGCTCCTGGGGCAGGACAGCTAAGAGAGTAGCAGGGTCAGGGAGAGCTCAGATGTCCCCATACTTTCAGAAGGCAAAATACTAGAGTGTTTGTTTCTTTGTTTGTTTTTCTTTATCTTTTACCCCTGATGCCAAGACTCATTCCACTTGCTTCTCTGATTTTTGCAAAAAAGAAAACCGAGGCAGAGGACAGGTTGGTTGGAAGTATCTGTGTCTAGGAGGGAAAGGCGATGGAGAGGACACACGGAATCTGGATTCAAGAGCCCCTGGTTCAAGCTGGCCTCAGGACTCCACGGGTGACCTCGGTCCAAAATGCTTCCTCCCGTTGGGTCTCAGCTTTTCTCATCTGTAAAGCGTGAGAGCCCACCCGTCTCCCAAGTTTGCCATGAGCCCATATGTTTCCAAAGAGTTTTGTAAAGGGGATGCAAGGTGCAACCTTTTTTTGAAGAAAAAAAAGTTTTATTTATTTATTTATTTTTAGAGAGAGGGGAAGAGAGGGAGAGAAACATCGATATCTCTAGTGCCTCCAACCAGGGACCTTGGTACCTGGCCTCCGACTCTGGCATCTTGCTTTGCCCGAGGACACCCAACCCACTGAGCCATGCGGGTCAGGGCTCTGAGGCGCCATCTTTACCACTGCAAAGGCGGATGGGCTCCCTCCCTACTCCTCCCCAAGGGTAAAGGCTAGTTTATAGGGGAGGACGGGGTGGGGGGAGGGCACAGTTCTTTGTAGGAATTAGGAAAGGTACCTCCCCTGGAGGGAGAGTGTTCAGCTGGGGTTGGCCCTTGGGGTCTTTAGTATGAGGATTAGAAGAAAACACACTTTCCCCCAGGTGCATCAGCCCCACACATTTGGGCAAGTACAATGTGGGCCAGATTCCAGGGCCCATCTACCCTCTGGTGAACGTCCTTGTGCTGCAGGACACATCTGCACCTGGCAACCCGTCTGAGCAGACACAGAGCTACACACACTCCCAGGATATTGCCTGTAGAAGCCCATACCCTAGGCTGTTGCCACTCATTTTCTGTCCTGCTTTGTCTCCACGTCAGGGCCTTTAGGTATTCAATCCCTGAAGACCGTGCTTACTAGAAGCATGATGGAATCCCATCAGGGGAGAGTGACTCTCTGGAGTTAAGCAGTGCCTTCACCAGGCCCTCAGGGGTAGGAGTACTGGGTCCCTAACCCTTTATGTCAAGAACTGGATCTGATTGCTTTCTCAAGGCCAAGAGCAGAAGCATCTACACAGCTGGGTGGTACAGCCATGCACAAATGATCTCAGAGCATCCTTAAGAGTAAGCTTGGAGGGAGGTCTCCTTCCCATGCCCAGAGAAGTTAAGGAACTGGCCTAAGGTTTCACAGCTTATTAGTGGTGGAGCCAGGACCCAAGCCTAGGTCTAGCTCTCTGTACTCTTCACTCTATCACTGAGGAATAAAGCTGCTGGCCTCACAGTTTTGTCAAAGGCCTGCTGGAATTGTTGCACTCCCTCTCTGTTCCCAGCAGCTCCTGGCTCCCACCTTCTTCTCAGGGCAGGGGAGGGGGGTGGGGGGAGCGGGCAGAGGGCAGTCACTTTCACTTACTCTAAGCTCATGGGAGCAAGAAGCTGCCTCAAAGCTCAACTATTCTGGCCTCTTTAGTGCAAAAAGGGCCCCTGGGGAGTCCAGAGGCCCAGTGTGGAAGGTGACCCTTGAGTGGGTCAGAGGCTAGTTCCCTTCCTGCCCAGATCGGGGCTGAAACACTGGCCACCATGGAGGACATCAGTACAGCAAGCTAGTACCTGAGTGAGAGGCAAGCCAAGGACCACAGAATAGGACCACAACCTTCGGGTTGCTGCATTTGCAACAACCCGAAGGCTGAAGGAAGCTCAGAGACCCCACCCTGGGCCACCGGGAACCAACCCCTGTGTTCCCAGAGCCCCTGGATGCCAAGGGGAAGGGATGGGGTAAACCCAGCAGACCGGGCGATAGGGCCCTACAGAGAGAGTATTTCTGCTTGTATCTGTGAGATACGTTCGCACTTTCACTTGAGGAAGAGATCTGGTGCTTACACAAAAAATTATTTGAAGCCTTACTGGTCTATCTAATGGTTCGCAAAGTGTGGTCCCTGGACCAGCAACATCTGCATTACCCAGGAATTTGTTAGAAGTGCAAACTCTGAGGCCGCATCCTAGACCGAAGTGGAAACTCTGAAGATGAGCCCAACAGTGTGTGTTTCAACAAGCTCTCCAGGTAACAGTGAGGACCACTTAAGTGTATGAATAACTGATTTAGTCCAAGGGTATAGGAAACAAAGATTGTCGAGGGTCAAGGGCAGGGCTGGGAAGAGAACATTAGTCTCCAGGAAGTTTCAGGTGCCCCCACTTCCAACCCTCCTCTCCTTCCCCTTTCTGCCTCCTGTCCCAGGCGCCATGCTGCCATTCCTGCTGGGCCTGTTGAGCCCGGTGGCCTGTTGGGCACTGGGCCTGGCTCCCGGCTCCACGGAGCTGCGCTCGGCCTTCTCCGCAGCACGCACCACTCCGCTGGAGGGCACGTCGGAGATGGCGGTCACCTTCGACAAGGTGTACGTGAACATCGGGGGCGACTTCGACGCAGCCACGGGCCAGTTCCGCTGCCGCGTGCCCGGCGCCTACTTCTTCTCCTTCACGGCTGGCAAGGCTCCGCACAAGAGCCTGTCGGTGATGCTGGTGCGCAACCGCGACGAGGTGCAGGCGCTGGCCTTCGACGAGCAGCGGCGGCCCGGGGCGCGGCACGCCGCCAGCCAGAGCGCCATGCTGCAGCTCGACTACGGCGACACGGTGTGGCTGCGGCTGCACGGCGCCCCGCAGTACGCGCTGGGCGCGCCGGGCGCCACCTTCAGCGGCTACTTGGTGTACGCCGACGCCGACGCGCCTGCGCGCGGCCCGCCCGCGCCCCCGGAGCCGCGCTCGGCCTTCTCGGCGGCGCGCACGCGCAGCCTGGTGGGCTCCGACGCCGGCGCGGCCCCGCGGCAGCGGCCGCTCGCCTTCGACACCGAGCTGGTCAACATCGGGGGCGACTTCGACGCGGCGGCTGGCGTGTTCCGCTGCCGCCTGCCCGGCGCCTACTTCTTCTCCTTCACGCTGGGCAAGCTACCGCGCAAGACGCTGTCGGTGAAGCTGATGAAGAACCGCGACGAGGTGCAGGCCATGATTTACGACGACGGCGCGTCGCGGCGCCGCGAGATGCAGAGCCAGAGCGTGATGCTGGCGCTGCAGCGCGGCGACGCCGTGTGGCTGCTCAGCCACGACCACGACGGCTACGGGGCCTACAGCAACCACGGCAAGTACATCACCTTCTCCGGCTTCCTGGTGTACCCCGACCTCGACCCCGCCGGCTCGCCCGGCCCGGGGCCCCTGGAGCTCTGAGCTCCCACGCGGAGGGGCCCGCGGGCGTGCATGCCGGGCCAGCCGGGCCGTGGCCCACCCCTCCGCCGGCGCGAGCATGACGGCCCGCCCAGGGCGGCTGGACTCTGCCAATAAAGTGGGCCTGCGCCGGCGCCTGTGTTCCTGGGGTCCTGTGCTGTCTTGATTGCCAGTTTTGTCTTGGGCTGGCGGGAGACACTGACTGCCTGGCGTGCGGTGAGAGTCGGAGGTCGAAGGGCAAAATTCGGTCAGGCCCTGGGAGGGTGAGGAGATGGGAATTCGAGCGGAGCCTCCACACCTAGCCTGTTGTGGGCCCCCCCATTCATGACCCTTTCCAGTCAGTTCCTCTGCCTGACTCCTCCCCGCTGACCTTCGATGGCATTCTAACGGCCCGCTGATGTCTGATTCCTCTCTGTGGCAAGGGGCAACACCCTCCTACTTCTTGGAGGTATGGGATTTAAGGAAACAGCACATTGCTTCTAGTAGGGCGCGGGAATGGGGTGAGCAGGTGGTACCGGTCGCTCCAGCTGCTGCCTTCCCAGGACAGGCAGGGAGGGTGATTTGCTCAGGCGGGGGCGGGGGGGGGGGGTGGCGGTAAAACATCTTACTCTGACATGGAAGAATGCAGAAGGCCAGAACAGAACATTTTATAGGGTGAGCTACACAGAATCAGGATGTTCGCCAGCCAGCCTCCCCTCGTCTCTCTCAGTCAACGCCCCCCTCCCCCACCCAGCCCCATTCCTTCCTCTGAGGTGTTCATCTGAGCCTCGAAGAGATGGACCAAAAAACATCCCCTGTCCCTCCCAAATATGTATTTCCCCACCTGCTTCCCTTCACGTGCCCAACAGACCAAATTGAAAATGTCCAGTCTATTCTTCCAGCCCAAAGCGGGCACTCTGAGGTTCAGGGACCCCAGAGCAGTGGTTGGGCTCACAGGGGTGTCCAAATTAGGACGGTGCTGGGCTCCTGGAAGGCTTCTGCTGCTTTTGTGGACTGCCGGGGTAGGGGTTGGAGGGTCTGACCTACTGTACTCAGGGGCAGCTTCCCTTTCAGCATCTCAAACACACTTCTCAGTCCTGACCCCAACACACACACACACACACACACACACTCCCTGCAAGTTCTGCCTTTAACTCAGTACCTGCCACCCAGGACCCAGGGCCCAGGCTCTTAATCTTCAGGACCCAGGAAAGATAAAGAGGGAGAGGTAAATGGGGATCCAGGGTACAAGCCAAGCCCAGAGACCTGAACACAGGGGAAAGAACCAGGTACCAGATGGAAGTCTGTGCTCAGGATGGGTCTGGCTTGGGCATGGGGATTGGGGGCTGGCAGGGGAAAGGGGAGGGTCAGGGAAAGGGGTCAAGGATTGAGGCCCAGGGCCCCAAAGGAGGAGGCTGGCCCTGGGGGCAGAAGCCTTTGCACAGGTCCCAGAGTGTTTCCTGTGCCAGGAGGGCAAAGACCTGGGCCCAGCGACCCCTCTCCTCAGCCTCCAAAGCCTTGTGGAGCCGATAGACACAGGATAGCCCCGTGAGGAGCAGATTTTCAAAGTCCCAAGGGCTTAGAGGAGGCCCCGTCCGCAAGTCGTGGAATTGCTGCAGCCGCCGCTCAGCACCCTGCCAGTCACTAGGCACGTGGCGCTGCAGGAGGAGCCGGAGTCGGCGGCCTGGATGTGTGGATGCCAGTTCCTCGTCCTGGAGGTGCAGCTGTCCCATGACATCCAGCTCCAGCCCAGCCCAGAGAAGCTGCAAGGGGAGGCGTGTAAGGAGTGGGCTGGGGTCTGGGGAACAGGGCAGGGAGCAAGAGTGGGCCAGCAGGGCATAAGCAGGCAGTAGGACCCAAGCTGGGTTGCCCCCCTCCCCCAGGCCCAATTTGAGACATCCCCTTTCCCAACCCTGAGTTTAGGGACCTCTGGATGCTTCCACCCCCCATGTCCCAGGCTGGAGGAAAGACCTCAAACATCACTTCCGGGGCCTCTGGCTCCTGCAGGCCACCTCCCACGCTGCTGCTGTTCATGGGCTGCCCTGGGGCAGCAGAGAGAAGTCAGGCCCCTGCCAAGCTTCACCCTAAATACCCCATCCTCCCAGAAGTGCCCCTCAGCTGCTTGGTGCCTAGAAGTTCTAGCTGCAAAAGTGCAGGAATGCCATTCCGTGCCTTTCTTCCCCTACACACACAGGCACATCAACACTTACTAACCCCGGCTTAGGTCTTGTGATTCCAAGATCATCATCCCAAACCCAGATACCTCCTTGGCAAATGTCCAGGACTCTTTGAACTTGTAAAGTTCCCTTAGTCAAGTGCTCCAGGCCAGCGGGTCACAAGACACTTCACTTCCCCTCCCTATCACCATCTGGGGACAGTGTAATCTAAAACAGTGCCAGTGCCCTTCCTCAAAAATTGAGGACCCCTTTGAGAAGAATCCATTCCTTCCTTGCTCCTCAGTAGTAATCACATGCAAGCTAGGATGTCTGGTGCAGCTTCCTCATCCCACCCCAGAGTGCACCTGGCCCTGGGAATAATTGTTCCAAGCCCAGGGTACATTAAGGGGGTGCTGCTTTCGGTGTCATCTGGAATAAGCCCTCGCCCAACTCTGTCCAGGGCCAGCATTGAGGGCAGCTAGGGCCATGTCCCTTCACTTCACCTAACTGGTCCAGTTCTGGGGGTGGGGCCCACGCCATTAGCCCCCATAGCACAGGTCAGCCTGGAACAGACCATGCCCAAGTTCTAGGCTCAGACAGAACCAACTCTAACTATTAGCCAGCAGCCTTCCTTGGCTCCCATCCACCCCACTCTGAAGCCCCGGTACCTGCATGGTGCTGGGTTGTAGTCATCCCAGGGAGGAGGACAATGGCTACCATCAGCCAAGCCAGGAACCGCATTTTCCCCGCCATGCCCCACCACATCCTCGGAGTCTTACTCTCCCCAGCTGCTCTCTGCTCCTGTACCCGCCTGCCGCACACCATGGCTCCAACTTTCCACTGCAGGCTGCTCAGGCGTTCCCTGCTTTGCCTGTCAGTCGTCAACACTGAACAGGGAGGGGCTGGCTCTGGCTTTCCAGGGGCTCTTTCCATCCCGTGGAAACGTGGAATCTTTGGCTGCTGGCAGGAGCCTGGCTCCCTGCCTGTCAGGCCCTCAGCCTGTTCCCACCAGATGGGCAGGATGCTTGGTTAATAGAAAAAAGGTGTTTTGTAGCAAACAGTGCGCTTGGCCCTCCCAAAAGGTAGGAAAGACACCACGCAATAACACTACCTTACCGTCTGTCCTCACACCCAAAGCATCCTGCAGCTGAGCCAGCTCCTGACGCCCAATCCAGCTAAGGCTCCAGGGAGCCCCTCAGCAGCCAGAAACATCAGCTGCAAAGCCCAGTCCTTCAAATGCACGGCAGACTGGCCGGGCAGACCCATACACAGGCTTCCACCTCAGGCACTCAGCCAGACTGGCGGGACCCACCCCAGACCAGCTGGAGCAGGCAGTGCTGTCTCCCTGGAAGACGGATCTGCAGTGCCTGAGTTTCTTTGGTCCCAGCCCTGGGACCTCCTTTGCTTGTTTACAACATTCTTGGCTCAGGCCAGAGTGCAGGCAGATCCCCTTAGCCCAGGCGTGATGGGCTGTCAGGTTGGGTTGCAGGGAGCAGGATGCAGAGTTCAAGACTCAAAAACGAGCTGCGGCTCATCCTGCTGACTTGTGGAGGGAGCCCTGTGGATGTTCGGATGGAGTGAGCGTGGGCAGGGGTTACCCAGGACCCACTGGGGCTTTCAACACTTGTTCAGACCCTTCTAGTCCTCAGGAGAGGCTGTGCCACACCCATCCCGAGCCCTGTACTCTGTGGGAACTTATAAATGCACCCAGGCCTGCAGGTCACCATGTCTGCACCTGCACCATTTAGTCCCTGGAAACAGACTCTGGTTCCGTAGTCTCTCTCTAAGCGAGGAGGGAACCCCATGCCCGCATCTTCCCCCTCCTGAATCAAAGTTTCAGGAGGATCAGCACACAAGGAGTGGTGAGTCTCAGTAAGGTTTTATTTACAGACAATTACAGATAAGATGCTTTCTCGGATCCATATGCCTTCCAGGGAGCTACTTGGTTTCGGGTTTCTTGTCTCCAGCTTCAAGCTTGAGACTCTCAGGGGGCTGGCGATAGGCAGGGAAGGCCTCCCACGGGCTATTCAGGTCAAATTTGCGGAACTCTTGGGCCAGCTCCACCGGCTCGGCTACCACCCGCTTCACCTCATCGTCATAGCGTAACTGCAAAAGAAAAAGGCAGTTTTGTGCACAAAGGAAGGCCTTGTTACAGCACACTCTCCCACAGCCTTGAGGGACTTTCCAGCCCCTTTACTTCTCTGCTCTGGAGTCCGGTCCTAGCCTGACTCAAGTCTCCATCCACATCCGTTACCTATCAGCCAGGGTCCAAAATGGCTCCTCCCTCACGCCCGGCCATCACCTGGTCAGGCTCCCTGTGACCGTGTGTATCATCGTGAGCTCCTGAGCTCCTTCTCCAGCAGAACCGAATTCGCTCACCCACCCACATGCTCTACAAGGTAATGTGCAGGATTAGGGAGCAAGCCAGTGGCTGAAGGGAGTACACCTGAACCGGCAGGTACCGAGTTCAGGTCCTGTGGCCTTGGCATTAGATGCAAGGCAGTAAATTTTGGCATGGTTTTTCTTTCCTTTTTTAAAAAATTAATTTTAGAGAGAGAGAGAGAGATGAAGGGATATGGGAAGAAACATCAATTTGTTGGTCTACCTATTTATGCACTCACTGGTTGATTGCTATATGTGCCCTCACTGGGGGTTGAACCTGCAACCTTGTTGTATTGGGATGATGATGCTCTAACCAACTGAGCTACTCGGCCAGAGCTATGGCTGTTCTTGTTATTGGAGGATCAACTGGAGAAGGTAGAAACAAACAGGTGCTGGTGTGAAGAGGCAATCCAGATTAGGGGGACAGTAGGGATGACAGGAGGGAGAAGAGAGGTACGGAACCCTGACCAGAAGTCCCTTGAGAAGAAAACAGGAGCGTCTGCGCACTGAAGGGAAGGGACTGCCACCATCTCAGTATTTCCAGAGTTACCCTGCTGCAGAGTCGCCCGTGCGTGTGCACACAGTAGACCACCTCCCTGCTGGTAAACCTGCTGCAAGCGCGTAGTCAAGCAAAACACGGAAACTCTTTGTAAGGCCCGTATAGTCACGTGCTACTGGTCCTGCCTCTGGCCGTTCTCAAGACTGGTGTCTTCCCTGTCAGCTCCTTTCTCAGCGATCCAGGGCAGGGTGAAACAAACACTGTACTTCCAGATCTTGGAGATAGACCTAGTATGTCCTCAAGGCTGCCCCGGTCATTAAAATGATCACCACAATAATGGCTAACGTCAACTGAGCATTCATAACGCACTAGGCATTACACGCACATCACTTGGCACACTGCAGATCTTAAGTGATTAAGTACTATGCCCATTTCGAAGATGAGAAAACTGTGTCAAAGAGAAATTATGCACCTTGCCCCAGATTTCAAAACTGGACGTAGGATTTGAATCCAGAGCTTAACGCTTTTAAACCACTACAATCCGTATTTCCCACCACGCCCAGGATCCCCTAGGTTCTGTCAGCCCCTCCCTGAGGCTGCTACTCTAGTTCAAAGGCTCCTACCTCAACGTAGCCAGACAGGGGGAAGTCCTTCCGGAAAGGGTGTCCCTCAAAGCCATAGTCTGTCAGGATCCTTCTTAGGTCAGGGTGGTTAGCAAAGAAGACTCCGAACATGTCCCAGATCTAGAAAAAGGAGGCCTTCAGGCAACCAGTCCATCATGGCCAACATGGGTTGGGCATGACACTTCGGGTCCAGAGGCCACGTCCACCATGTCCAGTAACTCACCTCCCTCTCATACCAGTTGGCTGCCTTATACACAGAGACAGTGGACTCGATGGGCGTCAGCTCGTCTGTGTAGGTCTTCACTCGGATCCGGGAGTTGAAGCGCAGAGAGAGTAGGTTGTACACAATCTAGGAAGAACAGGGGAAATGGAGGACCAAGATGGCCACGGGCTGAAGGGTGTGAGGCGGAGTCCCTGGGAGGGAACATCACTGATATAAAGTGAATTAGGGTTCTGCCCGATGAACCCAACTTCTATCCTGAAGCTCAAAACTTCAATGCTGCAAAGGCTTAAGCCACGCTGACATGCCAGCTCGGCGGTCAGCATGCTTGTCTTTGTTCACGCTGTGCCCTCTGTCTGCCATGTCTCCCAGACCCACCTTCCCCAACCCCAGTCCTCACTGGGCAAATTCCTAGTGTCCTGGTTGTCCATTAAGACTCAGCACAAACATTCTTTCTCCCTTCAAAGAAGCCTCCCAGACAGGGCTGAGCAGCCCTTCTGCATTCTTACAGCATGTCTGTAACGCCCCATGTGTCTTACTATAAGACACACTCTTACAGTAAGCTGTTTATGTGTCCTCCGCCCTCACTAGAGTGTGGGGGACTCCTGGGGGGCAGGTATTACATGTTACTTCTCTCTCTATCCCAGGACCTGGCAAACAGTATACGATCGATAATATCAACAGCTAAACATATCGAGAACTTGTGTGCTAACAATCTACCTGTACTCTCTCATTCAGTCCTCATAGGCACCCTGTGAGGTGGGAACAATTTCATACTTACTCCACACGTAAGGAAACTAAAACACAGAGAGATTAAACAAAATGTTGGAAGTCACACAGCCTATGAGTGGCAGAGTCGTGATTCAGACTTGAGGGTGCCTGACTCTGAGACCCCAGTTTAACTGCTCTGTCGAACTGTCTGACCCAAACTGAAACTAAGAAGGCTACGGTTCCTACTGGCAGCTGTCCCCTGCAAGTGCTTGGTCCCCTGTCCTTCCTTTATGCCATGAACCTTCTCAAATCTCCTGACTGACCTCAAAACGGTTCTGCCGGGTCGGGACGTCCACTGCCGTCAAGTCAGCCAAGGATTTGAACTGTGCGTTGGTGTGATCCCTGAGGAAAGTCAGCACCGGAATGACTCCATCAGGATGGATACAGATCTCCAACTCATTGAAGCAGGACACCTGCAGACATGGGGCAGGAGGGGAGAGACAACAAGGAGCTACCAAGGGAACAGCGAATTTCAGCGGATTCTCCTGACGTAAGGCAGGGAAAGAAGCCTAAGTCAGGGTGGAGGAATCTGTGGTTTCTTTGATACTGGGCTGCCCACTCCCACGTGACCGGAGAATACAGTTCTTTCTTGACCCCAACCAAACAACAACAGTAGTGAATATTACCTGAGCTTGTTGGACATACTTAGGCAGGATTTCGGCCACATACTCTCCAAAAGCTGAGAGCTGTTTGTGGACCACATCATTTTGCGGTCTGACAGTAGCTAGAAGAAAAAGGCATATTTAACAAAGGAATGACAAAGGCAGCAGCCAGCCCTGCATCCAGTCTGGGCTTATAAGGGGCTCCCAGTAGAACACTGAGAAAGGTAAGGGTGGAGGGTTCCTCTTCCAGGAAATAGGAAGTGATGAAAATTTAGGAGAAATGCCACCTACACTGTCTGAAAGGACTCTCATTCCTGAAGCTGGCATGTTCATCTCTTCTCAAAATTACTCCATGGTCCTTCCTTCACACTGTCTGCATTCCTGCTAACACAGCGTATGTCTCAGCTTTCTCATCAGACTAGGAGCTCTTTAAGGGTGGGAACAATATTCTCTTTTGTGTATCTCTTTAGCACATGGTAGCTTGTAGCAAGCTCCTGGCATAAGAACTTTAGGGCCCAAGAGCCCTCGTGGATTATGTAGTTGAAACCTTACTGATTTACTTTTAAACAGATGAAGATACTGTGCCCAAAAAGGAGGAAATGTCAGGTCTCCTGACTCCTGGTTGGCTTAGGTCAACTGTGACATATTTCTGCACACGGAGTCGCACAACCCTACATCACTGAGTGCCTGCACATCATTGACTGCAGGGTAATGGTTCCGTGTTGTCCGCCTCTGGCAGCAGGCCAGTTTGCTCAGTCACTCACTATAGTGCCCTAACCCTGAGGGTGTTAATTCTCTGTACTATTTCCTGATCCACAGTACGAAAAGGAATACTATCTACCTCCTAA